TCTACGGGAAATTTTACAAATTAAAATGGAGAAGATTTGTGTTTTGTTGTTTTAATAGACAAGGAATTTCCTCCTTTTGAGCAAAGAATCCACGTGCAGTGAACTACCTCTGCTACTTAAAATCTTCAGGGCTATTGTTTGGGTCTCTCAGAGTACACCTGGTGGCCATCTGTGCTTGTCATCTGCTTAGGCTATGTCTACACTACACACCACTGGTGACAGCATGTAGTATATGTGTAGCTACATGCCCAAGTAGAAAGCAGGCTGCATCCACGCTGTATTGTATAGCTACTTGCGTCAGTGAAAGACTCTGGCAAGGGAGGGGTAGCAGGGAAAGGCTCCAGCAGTGAGGAGCTGCCAGAGCCTTTCCCCAATGCCTCCTTGCTTCCTGAGTGTTTCCCTGCCATGGGGACGAGCTTTGGCAACTCTCTGTGATGGGGAAAAGCTCTATCAATGAGGAGGCAGCAAGAAACTATACTGCTAAAAATAGTGTAGACATGGGAGCCACTGCTTCAGCGTGTAGAAAGCTGTCTAGGGTGCATACCTTCAGGGTTCAGGTCTGTCTTTTTACATTCCAAAGCAGTGCAGCACCATCTACATTGCTATTTATACCCATGCTAGGGAGGCATAGTGCATGTATTCTACATGCCACTGTGAAGAGTGTGCAACATAGATGTACACTTACTCTGTATTTTCTCACCTAGTCACTGCCCACTTCCTGAAAGATGTCATTCTAGACTTCCCTCCAGTGGCAAAACATGTACTAGCCTGGGACTTGAACCTTGTTTTATCAACCCTTACTAAGTCACTGTTCAAGTCCCTGGTATCCTGCTCTCTACTACATATCTCCATGAAGATAGCATTTTTGGTCACTATCATCTCAGTCAGAGTCTAAGACAGGGGTCAGCAACCTTTCAGAAGTGGTGTGCCGAGTCTTCATTTATTCACTCTAATTTAAGGTTTTGTGTGCCAGTAATACATTTTAATGTTTTTATAAGGTCTCTCTCTACAAGTCTATAATATATAACTAAACTATTGTCGTATGTAAAGTAAATAAGGTTTTTAAAATGTTTAAGAAGCTTCATTTAAAATTAAATTAAAATGCAGAGCCCCCTGGACTGGTGGCCAGGACCCGGGCAGTGTGAGTGCCATTGAAAATCCGCTCGCGTGCCGCCTTTGGCACGCATGCCATAGGTTGCCTACCCCTGGTCTAAGAGCTAGGCAGTGCTCATGGCTTATTCCCCGTTCCTTCTCCTACCCCCTGCCCCGATACAGTTCTCTACTAGGCCAAGGTATCCATGAGACTACATCTGAAATTCATTCCTAAGGTGGTGTCAGATTTTCACATGAACTAAAGTATCCAGCTACTGTTTTTAACAGTAAACCTCTTTCTAGCAGGGAAGAGGTCGCATGGCACTTACTGGATGTTTGTAGGGCTCTTACCTTTTACCTGCAAAGGATGAAATTACTTCAAATGTCATAGACTGTCATTTGCGGAACAAATGAAAGGAGAAGCCATTTCGTACCAGAAACAGTTGAAATAGATCTCAGAGTGCATCCTACTCTGCTACAAGATTAACATCTCCCTTGAGGGCATTGTGAGAGCACACTTGACTAGAGCTCAGGCAGCATCTGAAGTGTCCCTTAGAGTTATCCCCCTTACTGACATCTGCACAGCAGCAAATTGGAGTTTTGTACACATCTTTGCGAGACACTATCCCTTGGTGCAAGCAGCTGCTTGTGATGGTGCTTTAGGCAGAGCAGTTCTGCAATCTATTGTGTCATAGGACACCAGGCACCCACCTCCTTTAAAGGGACACTGCTTGTGAATGAACTGAAGTGCACTACACATAAGACAAATTAATTGGAGAAGGAGGGGTTGGTTACTTTGTAATAACTTCAGTTCTTTAAGATGTTGTCCCTATGTCTAGTGCAGTGGTCTCCAAACTTTTTTGATCGCGCACCCCATCAGTAAAAAAATGTTGAGCACTCACCCCCTGCTCCCGGCCGAACGGTGGAAGCAAAAATAAATAAATAAATAAAAGCCACTCAGGTGGCGCTCCTCCTACCGCACCCCCTCTACCCCCGAAGGATACTCTTACGCACACCCCACTTTGGAGACCACTGGTCTAGTGCACTGCCTGTCCTCATTCCCCATTGCCTGGTTTCCCCCTACTGGGGACTGACGGTAGTGAAGAAACTAAGTTGCTGGTGGTTTGGCAGCCTCCTTTATTCCCTAAATGCAGAGTGCAAGGAGAGTGGTGGCACATGCATATGGATCAGGCAGACAGTGCTAAGGAAAAATCTCCAGTCCTGGGTGTATGGAGCACCTGTGCAACCCAAAATTGCACTTCACAAAGGGACAGCACATCTTGAACTGAAGTTACTACATGGGGAGTAACCTATCCTTATGGAAGGTGTACCACCTCAGAGTCATGGACACTGGGCCAATATGCCTTGGCCGATCCTATGGATTTGAAGGAGGAATATATATGTTAGACAATTCCCTTCACACTCCTTTGTCGCTTTGCTATTATTCACATGTGCTTCAGTGTGGGTTAGGGTTCTCATTTACATCTCCACATACTTCAAGGTTTCTTGATTCTGCAGGAGATGAGGCAGCCTGATACTATCCCTCCTTTCCTCCTCTTGTCCCAGCCAGAATACACATAGCATTGGACATGAGCGTCTTGGGATAGGGAGCACACAAGGATGCCTTCTCAGCACAGCACAAAAACACTCAATGCAATTGGGTTAGCATTTCTTGGTGTTCAGAAGGTTAATTCAAGGAAAATACACCCTCATAAAGTGAGGCACATCAATAGTTGCGTACTTGAATCAGCAGTATGACATGAAAAAACCCACTCTGCTTAGGGAGTCTGTCTCTTTTGCAGTTCTGCTTTCAGTAGGGCCTTATTTAATCTGGGCCACCTTAAATGCACAGTGAATTTGCTAAACTGATACAAGTTTCTTCCAGAGGAGTGGTCATTAAAGGCAGAGATATTACACCATTTCTTAAGGATCTGTTCTATCTCCATTGTTGACCTGTTGGCAATATATTTCCATGACAAACTCTCTCCTTTTTAAAAATGTATCTGGACATAGAAACACCAGCTAAAGGCATGCTTTACTGTTCCAAGGAATTTTCCTTGGCTTATACATTTCCTCCCTTCCTGGTCATATTAAATAATAATATTTTGTATTACTGTAGCACTTAAGAGCCCTAGTCATGGAGCAGCACTGCATTGTGCTAGGTGTTGTACAAATACAGAACAAAAAATATTGTCTCTGCCCCAAAGAGCTTACAATCTAAGTATAAGACAAGAGACAACAGATGAATACAGACAGACAGATCTGGGAGTACAAGAAAACAGCAAAACAGTATTGGTCAGCATGATAGGCAGTTAAGTGTCTTAAACAGCACTAGTCATCCCGTGACTCCTTTAATCCTAATTTCCCCAGACTGGCCAAGGGAAGGTGTTGCCTAGATCTGCTGATGCTTTCCCAAGGGGTATAAATCCCTCTGCTCTCATGCTGACACCATCTTGGGCCCAGTAATGCCTAGAACCCAAGTGTATTAAATCTTTTTGAATTGGTCCACAACAGGGCACTCCTGAAGTGGTAAAGCATCTCCGGATGCCCTGACCATAAGAACGGCCATACTGGGTCAGACAAAAGGTCCATCTAGCCCAGTATCCTGTCTTACGACAGTGGCCAATGCCAGGTGCACCAGAGGGAATGAACAGAACAGGTAATCATCAAGTGACCCATTCCCCGACGCTCATTCCTAGCTTCTGGCAAACAGAGGCTAAAGACACCATCCCTGCCCATTCTGGCTAATAGTCATTGATGAACCTATCCTCTATGAATTTATCTAGTTCTTTTTTGAACCCTGTTAGTCTTGGCCTTCACAATATCCTCTGGCAAAGAGTTACACAGATTGACTGTGCGTTGTGTGAAGGAATACTTCCTTTTGTTTGTTTTAAACCTGCTGCCAATTAATTTCCCCTAGTTCCTGTGTTATATGAGAGAATAAATAACACTTCCTTATTTACCATGCTGCACCCACAAAAAAGAGAAAACGAACGAGGTACAATGAGGTGAAGGTGGCACTTTCCACATGATACAGGATAAGCCTTTTTTTAGAAAAAGAATCAGAATTGCCCCCATATTAGATTTTCTACAGAAGATTTTCCATTGAAGACCCTTTTACATTAAAGGCTCTGCACTTCAGAATCTTCAGCAGTCTTGCAGAGGTGGTGTACAGTGGAATCTTTCCTTTGCCTTTCAGATAGACCCTCATTGGTTCTAGGGCAACTGTACTTAATCCCCTTAGGGTTGTGCAAACCGCCCTTCAAGATTTTCCATTTGGTAGATTTGTGGTTCTGCCTTCTGACATTAGTTCCGGATAGCAATCAGGTTGGCCAAGAAAATTAGAATTCTTGTACTTCACCTTAGTCCTCCATATTTGCTATTCCCTAGTGACAAGATGCTCTTCAACACTTATCTTAGTTTTTGCCCAAATCCCTGTCTTCCTTTCCCCTAACCAATGTACCACTTTCCAAGCTTCTGTCCTGATCCTAAATCAGAAAGGGAAAAGTCTACCACACCTTAGATTTCAAAAGGACTTAAGTATGTACACCTCTACCCCGATATAATGCGACCCGATATAACACGAATTCGGATATAACGCAGTAAAGCAGCACTCCGGGGGGTGGGGCTGCGCATTCCGGCGGATCAAAGCAAGTTCGATATAACGCGGTTTCACCTATAACACGGTAAGATTTTTTGGCTCCTGAGGACAGCGTTATATCGGGGTAGAGGTGTACTTAAATCAGAAAGATTGAGGTGAATGCATCCTCTTTTCTTCTCGTTCAAGGATAAGATCTAGTATCTAGCAATGGAAATTGTCAGTAATGGTGAGGTTAATCACTACAATCAATTTTGGTTATAGTTTATTGCAGATTTATTTTAATAATCCGTCTTTTTTGTCCCTGCAGATAAGCAGCAAAGATGAAGATTTTTTAGACCTTTCTGTTGATGTAGAGCAAAATACATCAATTACTCACTGCTTAAGGTACATGCACAAACAAATGCTTATATATTTATTTGAGTCTTTAATCTGTCACCATGTTAACTAATAATAAATTGATGAAGATGAAAAGGAAGAAGTAAAGCAAAATAGCTCAGGTTAATTTGATAGTCCAAATGTTAATTTTACATGCTTATTGTCCCTGTTCATTTAAAATGACCATGTAAACTCATGATGTAAAACAGTATGATTTTTATTTTGTTTAAAAATCAGTATATATTTCAAAATCAAGGAGTAGTTTCTACATCTTGCATTTCCCTTTCTGTTATATTCAGGGGTTTCAGCAATACAGAAACTCTGTGCAGTGAATACAAATATTACTGTGAAGAATGTCGCAGTAAACAGGAAGCACATAAAAGGTATAGTGTACTTAGAAAATATGTATTTCCATTTTTGAAACTTGTTAATGATTTTTTTCAAAAAAAAAATTCCCTCTGATTCTGTGGATGCTTATCATGAATAACTTACTGAGTTGTACTCCACTTACTTTGAGTTCAATGGAAATATTCAGATGAGTAATGTTACTTATATGCATAAGTGTTTGGTTTGGGCTCTTGATCATCTTGATTTATTTCAAGGAAAGATTACAGCTTGTCTTTTAGGAACAAAACCAACTAGAAACGATGGGTGAAAATCAAGCTGTAAAACAGTGACAATCATACATTTTGCATGACTTTTTAAACTTGTATATATTTTTCTTAGCTATAATATTAAGTTGCGAAAAGATGGTAAGATCAAAAACATTAATGGCATTACTTAGTAGAGGTAGCATACATAGAATAATTCAGATTAACCGTATAGCTCTTAACATCTATCATAAGAGAGATTCATAGCAATAGTTGACAAACCTGTATTTTTCAATCAGAATTAATCTTGTAATAATATCACCATTTTTACTTTTTTCTCTTTTCTTATAAATTTAAGTTATTATATTAAACTACTACCTGACATAGTCCTTCCAAAAAGCAGCACAAAGTTTCTTGGAAGACTGAAATATTTTCTGTTTAGAAAAAATTCTTGCCCTTTGCCTAACATTGTAATATTTTTCTTTCACCTTTTAAGAACATTTTTACTGAAAATGATTTGTTTTTTATTAGGGAGACAACCAGCCCCCTGCAGGTGAGGTAATGTGTATTGGACCAACTTATGTTGGTGAAAGAGACAAGCTTTTGAGCAACACAGAGCTCTTCATCAGGTCTGGGAAAGATGTTCAGAATGCTTTTTATTAGTTTCTCTTGCACAGGTTTTATTTTATTTTATTTATTTATTTATGCACTGAAATTTTTTTTCAAAATAAAATTCCATTATGTGAAACATAACTCATCTGTATTAGTTCACATATGCTGGCGAGGGCTTATTAGTTGTGAAAGCAACCAATTACGTGTTACTGCACAGTGTGACACAACTCACAGGATCACTCTCAAACAAAATTAATAGATGCATTGACAGTGTTATATTCATACCTGTACATCAAGCACCATATAATTCTTAATAGGCCACAAAACAGCAGGAGCACAGAACAACAAAATGCATTACTGTGGCTCACTATTACAGTGATTTTTCAAAGCTTCCCTAAGCTGTATAGTGCAATGAACAGGGCATGGACAGTCAGGCCTAGTGGTCAGACCCAGACTCAGACCCATTGGCTGAAGCCAAGGGTCAAAACCAAAGATAATGTCAGGTACCAAACCAAAGTTCAGAGTCAGAGATGGTGTCAGGTGGCAAGCCAGAGGTCAGAGCTGGAGACAGAGTCAGAGGTAAGGTGGAGGAGCAGGGACCTGGTGTGTAGGGCAGGACAGCAGGAACTGGAAGTAGACAAGAGTCTGTGATAGGAGGACAGAAACCAGGAACAAGCAGGAATGCAGGACTCAGGAGTCAGGTAGGGAAGAGGGGTCAGTAGTAGTAGCCAGTCAGCTAGTTGCTCAGACAACTTCCTGGTTTATATAGAACCCTTCAACCAGACAGGGGGCTGGATGTTTCCCCAGTTGGGAGTTTTGGGGGCAGGGCCCTCTGCAAGCTAACCCTTTGCTGGACCCTCTCCTGATTAACCAGGTGAGCTTCTGGATGTTGGTCGTCACCTTGGCACTACCTAGGGACATGTTGGCCCGAGTTTGAAGCCCATGATTTTTCACATCTAGCTCCACGTTCAGTTGTTTTAATAGCCCTTCTGTCTGGCTGTTCAAACTCAGGAGACCAGCTGCCCACCTCTTCCCTCCACTCCAGTGGAAACTTTTCTCCCTTTGCTTCACAGATATTATGCAGGATACAGCAGGAAACTATAACCATTGGGATATTTTTCTCACTGAGGCTTAATTTTGTGAGTAAACAATGGCAACGTCCCTTCTGTCTACCAAAAGCACATTCAACTGTCATTCTGCACCTGCTGAACCGGTAATTGAATCTCTCCTTGGTGCTGTCGACGTGGCCAGTGTACAGCTTCATGAGCCAGGAGAGCAACAGGTATGCTGGGTTGCCCAGGATCACTATCGAAAGCTTGTCTCTCTCTCTCACCAATAGAAGTTGGCCCAATAAAGATATTACCTCACTCACCTTACCTCTCTAATATCCTGGGACTGTCATGGCTACAACTAGGCTGCATGTGGGATCGCTATTGACATTTTAAGATTCTCAATTATAATCTTCCTGTCAGGAAAGAAGTTCCTACATGAAGACGCGGGTGTCGTGCACCACAACACCGATGTCAGTGAAGTGTCCTTGGTGATTCACCAGTGCTTGCATAACCACAGAAAAGTAGCCCTTTCTGTTGATGTATTCTGTAGCAAGGTGGTCTGGTGCCAAAATAGGGATATATGTGCTGTCTATCACTCTACTGTAGTTTGGTTCCCCATTGCTGCAAATCCATCCACTATGTCCTGCACATTGCCAAGAGTAACAGTCCTGCGTAGCAGGAGACCATTAATGGCCCTGTACACTTGCATGACGACAACATCCGCAGTGGATTTTTCCAACGCCACTTTGATTTCCAACTGACTGGTAGCAATTTGGGATCACAAGTTTCCACAATTCAATCAACATGTGCTTTGCCACTGTCAGTGCAGTTCTCATTTTGGTGTCTGTGTGCTGGAGGGCTGGGGTGAGCTTAACACACAAATCCAGGAATGTGGCTTTGTGCATCTGAAAGTTCTGCAGCCACTGCTCATCATCCAAGCCTGCATTATGATACGATTCCTCCAGTCAGTACCCATTTCTCAGGCACAGGAAGCGGTGTTCCCCCACCAGCAGCTGCTCTGTGAATGCCACCAACAACCTTGAATTGGTTCTCGTTTCATCCCGAAGCAGTCTGTCCTCCAAGAAATCATGTTCCCCACTGTTTTGGTTCTTCTTGCAGCTCTGCAATTACTGCAGGATTCTGTGCCCTATGCTTGCAATGCTTATGAAAATAGTGCAGAACTGCGCAAACTCCATACTTCTGTCAGAGATGATGGACAGCGAGGAAGACCACATATGTTTGTGGGATTTTGAAAAAAAGGTGTGAAAATAACGGCAGACTGATGACATTATGGGATAGAGATAGTTGTACTGGGACTGTTGACCCCTTGCTGCCACTTAGCCGTGCACAAGTTGTTTCTGCCCCACCATGCGTTGGCAAAATTTCCAAAAGGCAGTGTGCCTGATGGTGATGGGTTGTACACTGGGGTATTTGCCCATGGTGCACTGCACTGTGCATTGATACAAGTGTTCCTGATGAGTATGCGCACTGCCCACACAAGAGGAAAAGTATGAGTGCGCACAAGCAATATGCTAACTACAGTAGCTTTATGCCAACATAACTTAAATCGACAAAAGTTTGTAGTGTAGACATGGTCTAAGGTGCTGTTTCTGATTATACCATAGCTCTAACATGTCATTTTGGGCAAGTCTCTTAAACTCATTCCTGAAGTTCACTAATACTTACTGATGTTTATTTAGCGGGCGCTGAGATTCTCGGGTGAAAGGTTTTCAGAGAGATATCTTCTCTGTGATATTAAAATTATCACAGAAACCGATTAATTTCACAGTGACTTCAAATGAAGAATAAGTAGAACGAGAATAATGCACAGACAAAGACACTCAATATTCTTTCTAGTAGTAGTGGGGGTTAGAAAAAGTGGAGAGATGCAGAAGTGGATACAGTATAAACAAAATTATGATACAATTGTTTATTTTTCAAAACGCCATAAGTTTAGTCATCCAAAAAATAAAACTCATGAAAAAGGGTTTCACCATAATGTTCACAATAGGTACGCTAAATAAAAGAGCACTGATTCCAAGCTCTGAGTACCTTTTACAGTTTATTATGAAATTTAAAATGGACTCCAGCAATCACACCATTATCAAGCAATAATGTAAATATAACAAAAATCTAGTAAGTCCCACCCAAAAAATCATCACCAGAGTCCTCTCTCTTTTCCCAACTTTGCCCATTTCCTATCTCCTTACAGGTAAAGGTGAAAATGTCAGCCTTGCACAATGCCTGAAAGGTTGTTAAGCTCAAACTGTCATGGACCAAAGATGGAGAAAAGTTTCAAAGACCTGTGATGCTAATGGCAGCCCCCCACCACCCATCTCTTATGACAAACAGGCTGTAGCTGGCACCTTCCCTGTCACATATACAGAGGTGGTCTCTTAGATTGGTAAGCACCCAGGTCACTTAGGGCTTTATAGGTCAAAGCCAACACCTTAAAATCAACATGAAAACTAATGGCCAGTGTAGATAATCAAGTACTGTTTTAATGCACTTCCTAAAAGAAATACTGCTTAATAAAAAGACCACCAAATTCTACACCTGCTGCAATTTTAAGAGGTAGCGCCATAATCTAATCTAAAAGTGACAGTCCACTGCAAGGCCCACATCTGAAAGCAACTGTTGCCACCTCCTGGCTGTTTAGATGAATAAAAGAGTTGACCTAGGTATAATTGCTATCTGGGAGTAGCTGGGAGTCCTAATGAGATCCCCACATTAATGAACCCAGTCAACAAATGCAGATACATACCTCAGTTATGGGGACTGGTGATATTCTTGCCATATCTGCCATATCTCCCACCCCCAACCAACCAGTGTCACTTCCCTTTTATCTGGGATGAGTTTCAACATCAAGCATAACTACTGATAAAGATGAGATAGAGTGCTAGAGAGACTGCTGTCAAGATTGGTGAGGGGTTTCTGAAAAGTGGGCACATCCGTTTATCACAAAAATTAAGTTTTGATTGTTTTAAAGTGTGGTTTATTGGGTTAGCCCTGTATACTACTTGAAGAGATGGACACAGTAAAAAATGAAAGCTAAAATTATGAGCTTTCATAGTATTTATTTTCTCAAAGAAGCTTGATTTGGGTGAACTGATATTTTTCCTTGCAAAG